CGAGCATGTATGGGATTTTCTAGGCAGACGCTTGGCAGCTCGTACCTTACCACCAGTAACGATTCCGGAGTTAACAATTAGATTTTTGTCAATTTTCTTTTTACTTTTTAAGTGAAAATAGGTCGATGTGTACATAGATAAAGTCAAGGGTGTGCGCAGTGCCATTTTTGTGCAATTCTAGGATTTTTTTAAAGTAAAAATAGGTCGATGTGCACATGGATACGGAGTATTTGCAATTCTTAAAAACGCGTCAAGCAGTGGGTGATTCTGCACTTTACCCAAAATTCTATTGTTGACTTTTCTTCATGGGCAATTCCCAAATTGTGAAATCCATAGGATATCAAAAAAGGATTTAAAATCAAAAAATAATTTAAAAATTAAACTAGTATTTCAATGGCGTCTTAAGAAATATAGAACTATATAAACTTGCGCAATCTGAAATCAGCGCGTACGCTAGATTTGGCGCGCTGTTAAATGGGCGCGTTTGCTAGATTTGGTGCTTTTGCGCGTACATTTTCGCTGCAATTTTTTTACGGCCCTCGAAACCAAATAGTACCGAAAATCTTTATAAATTTAATTTTAATGATCCAAATTGTTATAATGATAAAAGTAAAGTTTAATTGGGATTCATTACTGAGCAGTTAATGAATGATAAATGCCGCAAGAAGGACATTTCACAAGCTGCAAGTTTTGCATTGAAACAAGGTCAACAACGTGTCTTAACAATGGTACTACACTTTATGGCTAAATGTCCAATAAATTATTCTCTTATTCGAAATGGCCTCTTATATAGACCCACAGTTGATGGCTAAAAGTCCAGAAAAAACCCAGAACAAAATGAAAGTAGTTCTAACCGTATTAACGCGGAATAAACGTGTTTTACAAGATAATTGTAATGAAATTCTGCTGCAGTTTGGAGAGATTCTCGACAAAGTAGTTAAGACAAATTTACATGAATTTTCTACTTTTAGTTCTCAAAATCTTTCTCTTGACACATTTCTCACTTCTTATTTTCATGATTTTCACTATTCTAAAGTATGGAAAATAGTGAAAATGATTCTTATCTTGTCACATGGACAGGCCTTTGTGGAAAGGGGCTTCTCTGTAAATAAAGCAGTTGAAATTGAAAATTTAAGTGACTCATCATACATTTCTCAAGGCACAGTATTTGATTACATAAAATTTTCTGGAGGTATTCTTAATATCGAAATTAATAAAGAAATAAGATCAGCAGCAGCTTCGATAGATGCTTTTAGCAGATGAAGCCGAGACCAGCAGGAACATTGATTTGTTTATCAAAACAAATGAACTTAGAAGAATAGTTAAAGAAAAGGAAATAGACATAAATAAATTAGATGTTAAAATATCTGAAAAAATTTCAGATTTTAAAAAAGCATAAATGTTTTGTATCTTTTATTGCATAGTTTATTATTCTAATATCTTTCAAAAAACCAAAGAAATCAATTGTATGTTTACAATCTGTAATTTTAATCTGCAAAATATCCTTTTATTGCAATTATAATAGTAGTTGACTGTGTTTAAATAAATATCAAATAAGTTAAATAATAATAATGTAAATCTCTAAAATATCTGAGGCTGTTATTAGTGTGAAATACACTTATACAAGTTTTTCAAGAAATTATGTTCTTAATTTAATGTTATCTACTTCATAACTTGTAGGGAGTTAGTTTAATTTTCAAAATTCTTTTATGTTAAGTATTAAATTGAATTTAATAATAGTGCATAATACACATTTCTGTTAGTTTCTTAAATGGATAATTGCTTTATTCTATTCGTGTTTTTTTCTTTTTCTTTTTTTTTCCCTGATAGGTCCTTAATTTTTTCTTTGATGGTCCTTAAAAGTACTTAAAAGTCCTTAATTTTCATGTAAGGAAATGTGTACGAACCCTGTCCATGAAAACCATATTGCAGAAAACGGGCTGTTTAACAGGTTAATGAAGATTTTTTATAGCTTCAAAATGAACATGTTGTGAAGAACCCCAAAAATAGGCAAAGAAAATGCTAGCTAAAAACCTGCGCAGCAAAACCAACAACTATCTGTAAAAATATCTGTAGACTATGTGTAACACTTTACCAACCGCTAATGGTTCAACAGCATATGCGCATCTTACTAGCCACTCAGCCGCAGATTCTCTCTGTCCTGAATAACTGTCAGGACAATTTGATAAATTGTCTAAATAAAACTCTCCAGTACCTTTTTCCGCTCATTGTGAATGGTAATTTTTTTTTTTTAATGATGTGAAAATGTGGGAGTTTATGAAGCAACGCTTTTAACACAAATGAGCAATGTACCTCAATACTAATAATAAAATGCAGATGATATAGCAATTGTTGGCAATTGTTTATCGCCATGGCTACTGATTGATAGGCTATTTTTAGGTAGCCCTGAGAAAAAAGCGATTAATAGGCGATCGGTTGGTAAAGTGTATAAGGTATTTCTCCCCCCTTCTTAGTGTGCCTTCGTGGTGTAGTGGTTCTGCACGCTGGGCCGGTATTCCAGAGGTCCGTGGTTCGATTCCCGGTGAAGGCGATTGCTAATTTTTCATCTTGTCTGCTACCAAAAATCCAAATGTCTCTACAGTGGCACCTGAACTAAAAGGGTGTTAGATGAGGATTCTCCACACCCAGGATTTGGAGATTGGGTCCCCTAAAAAACCCGAGTCGCCCTTTAAAAGTGGGGAGTATATAAGGTATTTCTCCCACCTTCTTAGTGTGCCTTCATGGTAGCAGTTCTGCACGTTGAGCTGGTATTCCAGAGGTCCGTGGTTCGATTCCCGACAAAGAGGTTGCTAATTTTCCATCCTTCCAGTTTCCAAAGAAATATCTAATGTCTATGCAAGTGTTAAGATGCTTTCTCCCATTCCACCTAAGTAAGAATGATTAGCAGTGGATTATACCATAGTCCTATTTTTAGGATAGGCGCAATTGATTAAACTAATAATTTGGTTTTCATACAGTGTCTCACAAAAGTGATGGGACACATGTGCTTTACAAAAGGAAACTGTAATAAAATAAATTAAAAAAACATGTAAAAATTTTTTTGTGGGTGTGCTTCATACTTAAATTTAGTAACAATTATTACATAGCATACATTTTCTCAAAATATTAAAATATTAATTTAATAAAAATACAGTCGTTTAGAACGGAGGAAAAAATGGCTCACATAAGTGATGGGACACCATTAGATACTACTACGTACTACAATAAAAAAAAAAAAATTTGGGGGGGGCTGTTATTTTTACTCAAAAGCAATGGACAATAATTTATAAAATCGTCTGCAGTATTTCTCTCCAGTTTGTTTTGGAATTTTTGTATTTTTTAGCTCTGTGCAGCCATGAATGCTAAACGAAAAGAAACTGCCTGAAATTCGAAAATCAGTTATTAATTTGCATATTGAACGTAGAAAATCTATTAGAGAAACTGCTGAAACAGTTAACTTGAGTCATTCAACAGTTTTCAATATCATTAAACAATATAAAAAGAATCATATGATTCAGGATAAAAGAAGACCTGGCCGACCATCAAAGCTATCCAATGGAATAAAGCGAATTATCGTTCGGAAATATTTTAAAATAAAACTCCAAGAATGAGTGCTCCTAAAGTTGCTGTCTGATTGACGTGCATTATATGGAGTAATCGTTCAATCCTGAGACTATTATAAGAGTAATTAGATATGCTGGATATCACGGTAGAGCGCCAGGAAAAAATTCTTCGTTGAGTGAAAAGAATGGAAAACTCAGACTGGCTTTCGCAAAATCCAACATAAATAAGAATTCTGATTACTGGAATGAAGTTATATTTGCTGATGAGAGTAAATTTAATATATTTGGTTCTGACGGTAGGATCTTGGCGTGGAGAAAACCCAGGGAAGAATTTTACAAACAGAACTTGGTGCCAACAGTAAAACATGGTGGAGGAGGTGTTATGGTATGGGGGTGTATGTCGTCCGCTGGAGTTGGTAATCTTGTTTTTATTGACAGTATAATGGATCAGTACAAGTATATTGACATTTTAAATCAAAATTTGAAATCTTCAGCACAAAAATTGACCCTTCATAACGATTTTAAATTCTACCAGAACAATGACCCCAAGCACACTACTTTGAATGTTAGACTCTGGCTGCTGTATAACTGTCCTGAAATAATAAAAACACCACTACAATCTCCAGACTTAAATCCCATAGAGAATATTTGGCAAGAATTGGAATCAAGAATTCGTAAACACACCATTTCTTCAAAACAACAATTAAAATCGGTGCTTCAAGAAGAATGGGGTAAAATCACTCCAGAAATCACTTATCCACTCCAGAAAAAATTAGTCGAATCCATCCTAAGAAGATTAAATCATATTTTAAAAGTAAAAGGAAATCCAACAAAATATTAAAACCTTTTAAAAAGTAAAATTTTTGGATAAATATTTGATGAAAAAGTAAGTATCCCATCACTTATGCGAGTCATTTTTTGCTCAGTTCTAAACAATTGTATTTTTATTAAATTAATATTTTTAGAAAATGCATTTTATGTAATAATTGTTACTAAATTAAAATATGAAACACACCCACAAAAAATTTTTACATGTTTTTTAAATTTATTTTACTACAGTTTCCTTTTGTAAAGCACAAGTGTCCCATCACTTTTGTGAGACACTGTATGTATGCTTAGAATTTAGAGAAGCACATATTTAAGAATTTATAAAAAAACATATTAATTTTTTCAGTGCTTGGTAGAAGCCAGCAAAAAAGTGGAGGAATAAAGTAAAGAATCAGAAAAGCAGTGACATCAAAAATATAATTTCTAAAGATATGAAAATTTGTTTAATAAATGTAATTTAGAATAGAGTTCATTATACTGAATTATGTATTGAAATCACTTGTGTAATCTACTTGATATTTTTTTTGTTTCAAGAATATGAGATAACGAATACTAACTGTGTAAATTTAATGACTGATTTTTAAAAGTAAATTTTCATCGGCATTGCAGGTTTCCATTACAGTTGAGGAGCATGTGCCATTGTTTATATCAAGTGCTAAATAAAAGATTTCCGAATTTTCCTCATAATATCAGTGCTGTAGGAACTGTGATATTTCTTCGTTTTATTAATCCTGCAATTGGTAAGTTTGCTCTACTTAATACTTTTAATATAAATATTCAGTAGACTGCTTAATTAAAATAGTACCTATAAAAGTATTTTTAAAATAAAAATTATATGATTAGAACTTGTTTTTCCTTTCTCATTTGAATTTAGTTTCTCCATTTGAAATGGGAATAGTTGACAAACAGCCATCTGGTCGCACAAAAAGAGGATTGATGCTAATGTCCAAAATATTGCAGAATATTGCAAATCATGTAGAATTCAGCAAAGAACAACATATGCTTCCATTTAATGACTTTTTACGTGCCAATTTTGAACATGGAAGAAGGTGAGTTTAATGCATCATTAAAGATCTGTCTTATGAAGTTTTAGATTCTGTAAAGTAAACTAGCAATTTTACATACTTAGAATTTTTTCCGTCATAGAACAGCTCATGTTAAATAGTTTTCTACAGAAAGATGCATGTTTTGTTGTACTAGTTGTACTTTATTTGATTTTCTAATGTGAGTTCAAGTAAATATGCTGGAAAAAGGACAAAAACTCATTTGAACATATCTTAGTCAGTGCAAAAGTGTTGTCTATTAGCCACCTTTAAATTTAATATACTGTTCTTATCTCTTGTAATATACCTGTTTGGAAAGAAAGGATTGACAATAAAAAGTTTTTAAAATGTGTAATCCATTCTATTTTAGTTGTTTATTGAAATAATTAACCTAAGAGACCTATTTCAGATATTTATAAAAGTTTTATTTCCGTGCTGTCATTTAACAGGAAAAATCCAGGTCTTATTTAAATATGTTGCTTTAACCTCTAACTTCCCTATACTCAATTTTTATTTCGAGCCACATATGTATATTTAATAAATTATCTGGATATGATGTAGTCTAAAATCCCTTATAGTTTAATATTATAAAATAAAGCTTGTAATTATCACAAATGGGGGGGGGAGAAAACAATCTGTGAACATATTTGACTTGAACATTAATTAAATATGTTCATTTTAAACATTAATTATATTCTTAGCTTGCCAACTTAAATCGATGTGCAGTCACTATATCCAGGTCTGAAATGAATGTAAACAATTTTTATTCTTATGATACAGCTTAGGTAGTCTGATAAAACATGCAAAACACATAACATACATTCAAAACATGATTTTTGATAGTTTTTTTTTTTTTTTTTTTTTTTTTAATTACTTGTTCTTCTTACTGTGAATCAGAATGCTCACCAAATCATAGCATTGCAAATTTCTTTGTCCAAAAAATCCTCCATTTCAAAAGAACTCCAAGTATTTGACAGTAGCATTCTATGAGTGTGAATTTGCCACTCGATTATCATTCGTTGAGGTAATCCAACTTCTGATGTCTATGCATATAATTACAGACATGTTTAGATTTAATTAAGTTTATCAGACTTTCTGCTTTGGACAGGATTTCTCCAATTTGATGATGTTCCAGTCAGTTTGTCATTTTGTCTGGTTATTTGGTGAAATTTTAAAAGTACAGAATGTACAAGAAGTAAAAATAGTGCAATCTCGGGTAAAATGTTTATTTAGCAATTAAATATTTGTTGTATTTGTACAGGGCCAACTCTTATTATTTAAGAAAGCTATCTGGATTATGGAAAGTGTAAAGGTTAGTGCAACTGATATTGCCAGTGAAATTAGAAAATTAAAAACAAACCTTGAGGAAAACCGTGATAATAAATTTCTGCCTTAAGAAGATGGGGGGGGGAGTTTTAGAATAGGAAGTGGTGGAACTATCAATGGAGTCTTACAACTGTTTACATCTTTTTATGTCAGGTATCTTTCTTACACTGAGCTATGGGAAGACAGTTTTCGTGGAGCAAAATCTTTTATTTGGGTAAACCACAGTGAATTTACGTGGTTCAAAAATTGAAGCTTCAGGTGAAAAAAATTAATGAAACAGTTACAAATAATACAATAACCATGGATCAACTTTTGATGAAGTAGTGACTACAAAAACTTTTTGATCAGTCGTTATGAAATTTGCAAAATGAAAAGTTGTGAAAAAAAATGATATAACTTTTCAGTGTTTTTAAAAAAAAAGGAAAATTCATTGCCCTACATTGTTCCAAAAATCGAATACATTTTCATCAAGTTAAATCTCTATATATATATATATATGTGCTAGTTGAAAGAATATTCTCAATAATGAATATCATATGTTCTGAAAAAGACATAGAATGGCTAAATAAACTACACTGTAGCAAGTTGCAAAATTATCAGTGAATTGAATTGCGGTGAATTTTTTTTATGCCATTGAAAATACAGTTTTGTAAAGAAAGTTGACATTACTGATAAATGCTGATAACATTTTAATAATTAAGATACAATAACCAATTTAAAAGTTAAACAACAAAAGTCAGCGTTATATTTTCAAATTTTCACAGGACTAGTTTTGAATGGTTTTACTGATACATCATTCTCAGCTGCAAAAGCGCAAATGAATGAGATAAGATATAGTGATTAGATAAGATAAGATAAGAAAGACTGGAAGGAGTTAAGCTACTGGTGACATCTGTTGATGAAACGAGAATTAAAACATAATTTTCTTAAAGGCTGAATGCAAAGATGGATTGGAATTAAAGTCGTTAACTGGAACAGAAAGATTTTTTTGAATGTGAAATGCCTCTAGAAAATCTAATTCACCAATGGAAGATGTTTTTTGAATAGTTTTGGCTTAAAAAAAAAAAAAAAAAAAAAAAAAAAAACTGAAAGTGGGATTTTTGGACCATCAGTGCTGGACAACTGTTGATGAAGAACTAAATTATTTAAAAACCGTAGCTATTGACAGGGGCTTTTCATCCAATATTATTAATCAAACAGTTAAAAAATTCTCATCTCAACACGCCAAAAGAAACACTCTTGTTTTAAGAGATTATAAGAATTCTGTTGTCATTCCCCTCTTTCCATCACTTAGCTATAAAATTGTGCATATTTTACAGAAATTTAACTTTCGAGTCGTCTATTCTCCCATCAGTAAAATTCCGGGTTCCATACTCAAGGACCCCATCTCAGATATGAATTCCTGAGGTATTTACAGGATTCCTTGCCAGTGTGGTTTGATTTGCATTGGTCTAAGTAAGAGAGACTTAAAATTTTGCATTAGGAACATATAAGACATATGTTAGAAACAAGGAAACACAGAAGTCTTCTGTTGCCCAGCATTGTTTGTCCGAAAATTACAGTTTCAATTTTTCTGCAGCCAAAATTATTTTAAAATCATCTTCTGTTGGTGAATTAGATTTTCTAGAGGTGTTTCACATTTAAAAAAAAAATATTTTTGTTATAGTTAACGACCCTAATTCCAATCCATCTTTTCCTCCAGCCTTTAAGGAAATTCTATTTTAGTTCTGGTTTCATCAACAGATGGCACCAGTAGCTTAACTCCTATCCAGTCTTTCTTATCCTATCTTATCTAATCACTATATCTTATCTTGTTCTTTTGCAGCTGAGGATGATGTTTCTATGAAACCATCGAAACTAGTCCTTTGAAAATATAATGCTGATTTTTGTTGTTTAACTTCTAAATTGGAACTTTTTAATAGTAAAGTATGTCCAGATGAGTTATTAAAAATTTCTTTCTTTCTTTCTTTCTCTCTTTCTCTCTCTGTTTTTTTTAACAACTTTTTTTTAATTTGGATTTTTAAACAAAGGTAGTAGGATGCCCACAGCTACAAGTGTCTGAATGCTGGTAGTTTGACATGGGTTCAAATACCAGCAAACAGGCTGGGTGCATGATTATTTTCAGTGGACATAAACTAATTCTCCATTTAAAAAAAAAAAAAAAAAAAAAAAAAACCTCTTCTTGAAGGCATATTTTCCCCTAGGCAGATAACTCTTAAGTTTTTTTTAATTAACCTAAATTTTAGTATGTGTAACCTTAATTAATTTTCTGTTGTGAATATGTTCTTAAAGTATTCCTGTTACTATTGATTAACATGGATAGCCTTTAATAGCACAGCAGGAATAAACATTGTGTACGTTTGATAATTATAAGTGTCCTAGAGCTAGTCAGGTAACAACTCACTCAAAGCAGCCAATTCCAGTACATAGGGATAAAGTCTGCTGTACAGATCATTTAGGGCCTGAATGAACACACCATCTAGAACCATAAAAGTCAGAATCAAAGCAAAGATGTGCTGTGAACCAATGTCCTCTCTAATCGTAATCAGTCATAATATATCTTGTAATCGATCCTTTAATGACTAGGCTTACCGTATTTTTTTGGCTGAAACCGGAGGAATTTTCAAAAAATACTTGCACAGAAAATAAAACCTAAAAAAGCAACTACTAAGAAAAAAATGAAAATAAAGGGATTTAAAAGCTAAGAAGATGTTAAGTGTGTGTGTGTATTTAATTATGGCAAAGCACACTAGGGCTATCTGCCTAAGGGGAGGGATGCCTTTGTGGGGGACTTTCTAAGGAAACTGGCTCGTATACATGTTACACATGGGGAAAACCATGAAAAACCCATGCAGCCAGCCCGTTCGCGGGATTCGAACCTTGGACCGAACTACCAGTGTTCAGCGACTTTACCGCTCGGCCGCTGGTGGGCAAAGAAGTTGTTAAAAAAAAACTACAATGAGTTAAAATAAGTTTTTTGTAACTGAATATATTATTCATTAGTATTTATCATTAGTGTCTATTGTTCACAGTAGTGTTTTTATCACTAGTGTGAACTTTGTTTAAAAATTCTTTGTTATTTTTAATAGTATCGAAAAATTCACTGCAATTTAATTGACTATTGATTTTGCTGCTTAGTAAAGCTTTTACTGTCGATTCAGCCAGTTTACCTCTTTCTTCAAACCATTTTTATATGATGCTTATAATTGGGAATATTTTTTTGATTGCTGCCAGTGTGTCTCGCATGCTTGAAAATGTATTCTAGCATTTAAATGGCACGGTGCAATAAAATGTGTTTTTCTTTGAAATGACTTAAATTTCGTATGCATTTTTTTTACAATTTTAATTTTTCTAAATTTTATAATTAGCTGACCAAACCTTTTGAAATCATTAATTCATCAAAAACTTGATCCGTATATGTTGTAGAATTTTTACAGTGTAATTAATTTTTTCATTTAAAGCATCAAATTCAGACCATTTTAATTTACTGTTGTTTTCAAATAAAAGACACCTGACCTCACCAAAACTGTTTTCCCATAGCTTAATATAAGAAAGACGTCAATCAAAAAGGTTGTAAATTCGTGTAGGGTTATATTGATATTAATAGTTCCATTATTTTCTAATATAAAACTTATATTTTCAGGCGCATCATTTTTACCATGTCCTTTGCCTTCATGTACACCAAGCAGGTTTTGTTTTGAAAAAACTTCCTCAGAATCATCACATGTAAATTTGCGAGCAGTTCTTAATGTAGAAGCTAATTCCTCTAATTTCAAAGGATGGCACTTAATAATATGCACCCATAGATTTTGTCCGAATGAATAAAACTTCGGACATGACAAACTTAAAAAATTTGCTTCCATAATAATAATCACACTATATAGAAGACTCATGTTAACTGGTAAGTCAGGGTTAATTTCGTAGCGTGACAATATTTAGCGGAACAATGTGTCTTTAATTGCCAATCTTATGATACATTGCCAATAGTGTATAGCAGATGCCAGTCTATTACACTAGTGAAGCATATCACTATGCATGCATAAAGCATTAAGCCCTGCAGAACAAAGAAACTCCTTGCCTGAGATAGCACTAAAAATGGTTATTTATGACAAAAAAAAAAAAAAAAAAAAAAAGTTGAAGGAGAGGAGAAATTTGCGGATGGTCTACTTGAAAGAAATTATGTGAGTACTCGAAGTTCTTAATTAATTCTTGTGTGTTCTAATTAGGTTTTTTTCAACTATGTTTTATAAATTCATTCACATCTTAATTTATTGGATTATCTGTTTAAAGGTAAAAATTTTGATTTAAAAATCTCACTGAAATATTTTGTTTTTTCACATTTGTTTTCAATTTTTTTTATAAAATAGAATTCTTTTTATTTAAGGTTGTTCTAATTATAATTTACTTCATTTTTTCCCTTGCTTTGGGGAAGGCCCAGAATTTTTAAGTGAACTATTCTAATTAAAATACATTGAAATGGTTCATCGGCTGATTCTAGATACAGAAAAGCAAGGATTTTTGTAGAAGAGAGATTTCATTTGATTTCAATTACTGTTAATAAATTTTATAGAAATTTTATTTTCTTTTAAAATTTTGGCGAGAGTTAGAATTTCTTCTTTTTGTGTTTCTATTTCAGTGTAAATTTTTTTAATTCTGCTAATTTGGTTAATAATAGTATTTGCAATAACTTGTTAGATATTTTGGAGTTGCAGTTGCTAAGTTTAATTGTAGAAAAATTTAATTCTTTTCTTTTATCAAAAAGTCTAATTTCTTTAAGATTATAAATACTAAGTTTTTGACAGCTTGGGTAGATGTTGCTATTTTCTATGAGATTATAGTTGTTGGAAGTTATAATGTCATCAGTGTATCTAAAAGTGTGTTCAAATTTACTGAAATCAATATCAGAAAGGCTTTTGAGGAATTTAAATTCTTTAGAAGTTAGAATTACAAAGATGAATTGAATATTATCTTCCCATTGGAATTCCTTATGTTTGCAGGTAAAGAAATTGGAGATGTATACTATAGTTATTGTACAGCGAGAAACATAAAAGTTTTTTTCCTTTTTTGCAAATCTAGACTATTAAGTATTTAAAGAAAATATTTTGTCGTTTTCAAAAGACTTTCATAGATTTCTTTGAGTGGTACAGATGTTTTTCAGAGTCAAGTCATAGGTTTTCAAAGTCATAGCAGTTAATATTGTAAATTTTAAGATTTTTAACTTCATCAATAATTTTCAAGATGTTTGCCCTTTTAAAAACATTATTACTGATAAATGGAAAACTCTTATCTCTTGTTATTTTTCTTTTACAGGAAATATATATATATATATTTGAGCGAATATTATGAACCAATAATTTGTGAGAAAGTATTTTTCTACCAATCCAGCCTAGATACAATATCCATTCTTGAATATAATATTTACAATGCATTCTTTCATATTTATGTTCTTAAAGTAACAAAAAGTATCTCAACTTTTAGTGGTAAATATAGCTATATAATTTAAATAATAATTCACATAATTCATAAAATTTAAGAAATGGCATATGCTAAGGGGATTGTTTGCTAGTAAGACAAACTGCCAAGTTTTAAATACAGTTTTGTGTCAAGTGTAAGTAGAGAATAGAACATGTTTTTCCCCTCCCTGTTATAATTATATTTTTATTTTTTATTAATTTTTTTAATAGGTGGGTGGTACAGATCACTTCAGATTTGGAATCCATGGATCAAACTAGTCACAGCATGTCTTTCATTAGTGATGCCAATGTTCATGCTCTTCATCGACTTCTGTGGAACCACCAAGAAAAGATTGGAGATTATCTTTCCAGCTCACGTGACCATAAAGCAGTTGGACGTCGACCTTTTGATAAAATGGCTACTTTGTTAGCTTATTTAGGTCCTCCAGAACATAAACCTGTCGATTCACAGTATGTATTCAGTTCATGTACACTGACAAACACAAAAAAAACTTTTCAATATTAATATTCTTTGCTCTGAAAATATATAAAGGTAATCTGTATAATTATTATAAATGTTTTTAAATACTATAAATATTTTTTCATTGAAGTAAATTGTCATTCATTAAGAGAATCAGATATAATCTGATGTTTATTATGCACGCTGTTGCAAAAAAATATATGCACCCAGAAAGAATTAAGCTACAACTTTGAAACTTGATAGTAGTATATAAGTATTTAAGTTTGTTAACAAATGATCAAAAACTGGGGGGAAAGCATTTTATTTACAAGTAGCAATACAAAGAATGTGAGAATCAGTAGATGGTAAAGGTACCTCTGGCTGATATACAGGTCGATACTTGATTGGGCACTGAGTCTGCTAAGCTGCCGATGTCCCTTTGTGGTAGGCTGTGCCATAAATGGAGCAAATGGTAATTGAGTTAAGACAATTTCGAACAGGGCTGAATTTGCCTGCCCGAGATGTCCCAAACATGTTTGATAGGTGACAGGTCTGGAGATTTCACAGGCCAGTTTAGAACATTAAAACCTTGTAGACATTGTTGAGAATACATTGTGTGCTATATGTGGCCAAACATTTTCCTGCTGGAAAACAATACCTGGATGTCCTGCTATAGCATAGGCAGTACAATTGGCTACAGAATGTTGTCAACATTATCTCACAGCATGACTAATCAAAAAGGGCTGTCCCATCTGATTGCTCTTTAAACTATTGCACCTTGTGTTCTGGCTGTGAGCAACTCAATAACAAATGGTACGTTGGACTGCTCACCTTTATGTCTTCAGACATGTATACAGTGGTCATCAGCTTTGAGAGAAAAGCATGATTCTTTGCTGAAGATCACATTTCTCCAAACTGTTCAGCTTTAGTGATAGCAGCACCATGCAAGACAACACTGCTTATCACAGAGTGACAATGGCAAGCATCTTAATCAACATCAACATCTGATCCCAGCATCACCTGGTCTTCTGTGAATTGTATTTCTGGATATCCCGGGATTCCTGAGAATTGTCAAATGGCTTTGAATCAGTGATAGCATAACTGTTGGTGAGAATGGAGCTATTCTTCCAACTGCACAATCATCTTATGCATTGATGTCATTGGTATGTCCACTAGCCACTATGGTGGCTCACTATGCCTTCATTGTGTCACTGATTCCAACAACGGCAATGACCATATTTACTTTGACCAGTATATTGGTCGATCTGCCTGTTTGACCAACTGGCATCTTTTAGCAGTATGATACAACCTCTCTCAAAGTCTGAAAACTGTTTGTAATGCCATTAAGTACTTCTTAAAGGTATCCTACATTACTATGTCATGTATCCAAGCTGTCAGTGTGGTTTTAAATGTTTGTCACTTGCCCTTTTACATTCTACCAGCTGCTCACTTCAGATGCATGTTATATTGCTCCACAATGCTAATTGATGTTGCAGGTTTAATCATTTACACAACTTGCCAAACCACATTTGCATGCTACGTTTCGTAATTGTGGTTCAATTTTTTCTGGGTGCATTTATTTTTTAGCAGCAGAATGTATTGTCGAATAATGTAAGAAACTCTCCCCCCTATTGGTTGAGGGGGTATTCTTTTAAACTTTAAACCTCTCCTTCCCATTCTTTTTAACTTAAATGCATTTATTGGGGATGGGAATTGCTTGCAGCATGTAACTTTCAATTTTCAGCATTTTCTCGAGTTTTTTAAAATTTTAATTTGTAATATTTATGCATGTTCTATAAAAATCTGTTTTATTAATTATTGTTTTTTGAATCATATATTTATGTGTACGGTGTGTGCTTTTTCAATCAAAGTTTTTCAATCCATATAAAAATATATTTTGTGGAACATGCTTTGCATAGAAAGAAACTATTTTGCTTCTTGAAGTGAACTAAAACTATGAATTTAGACATATGATTAAAATATTCTTGTTGTGTTTTTTTTAATGCATCATTTTTTGGAGAATGTTTAATTTTTAAAACCCTCAGTTACAAAAAATAATATTCATAAAATATTTTACATATTAATGAGTAAATTTAATATGTTTTTGATTGCAAAGAAACATTAAAAACTGATATAAATTAGTGAATTCATTCTTGAATATGTGTGTGAAATTTGCCTGTGAATGTATAGAGTTTTTAGTATTAACTTATTGGAACATAATGAATATTTTATGTTATATATTTGCAGAACTCTACCCAGTGTTGATACTGTTTTAATAAAAAAAACTTTTAATTACAAACTTTCTTATAAAATATTTTGAGAAACTCATTAATTGGAATTTTGTCCTCGCATTTGATAACCAGCATTATCAGTATTCAATAAAATATATAGCCTAGCATCAAATTTTATGAAATCTTTGTATATATATGTTTAATTATTTTATTTATCATGATTCTAGCCTTTTTTGAATTGTGTGTATTTTTTTAGGTGGAGTAGCATGGACATGACTAGCACAAAGTTTGAAGAAATCATGTCCAAACACAATATGCATGAAAAAGATGAATTCAAATCGATAAAATCTCTTAATATATTTTATCAGGCTGGAACTTCTAAAAGTGGTCATCCAGTATTTTATTTTATAGCTAGGCGTTATAAGTAAGTGATATATTTTGTTCCATTTATTTTTTGTTCTTTTATATACATTTAATATTAAATACTATTGTAATTTAGTAAAGGAAATTAAATAAAGTTCTTCATATTTTTAGAATTGGAGAGACAAATGGTGATCTTCTAATTTATCATGTGATTCTAACTTTGAAACCTTTCTGTCATAAACCTTTTGAACTTGTTGTGGACTTTACTCACACCAGTACTGAAAACAGATTCAGAGTAAGATATCTGTTCTGTAAAAAATGTGAATGTAATATATTTTCTGTTTTTGCTGTGTTTTATTGCTTTGTTATATATTTTTAATTTCCACTTTATTTACACAATTTATTGTAAAGTGAATTTCTCTAATACCTATACATAAAGTAAAATTGTACAATTTGGATATTATTTATTTGGCTAGCCTATTTTCATTTGTCTGTCTTTGTCAGGATAATTAAATTCAAGGATTTGGAAGGTACAATGCTTTAGAAATGCTGTTGCCTGAGTATCAAAGGATTTATCATCCTTTGTATAATATTCTTAAAGTGGGAATATTGAATGTGTGCCCATGTGAGCATATAAGGAACATCCAAACAGCTTGAAATCAGATCTGAGACTTAAAATAGCTCATTAATTACAGGCATTGATGAAAAATAAACAAAACTGTTCTTATATATCAGTGAATAAAAGTGCATTAAATATGATGCAAAAGCATCTCTGAATGCATCACTTGTGGGACTTGCTATGCTGTAGCAAGTTGCATTTTTAATGAGTTTAGTCCTTAGATTTGGGCTATTGATGGAATGTAAAAATTGTTGCATGATCAACTAAAACTCAGTTCAGATTGTATCATGCAGATAGAAGAGTCAGAACATAAAATGAATTACATGGATTAGTCTTATATGAACGTCAAATAGGAAATTTTTAACACATTTCTGCTAGAATAATATCTAATGACACTCTTTTATGGAATCATAATTTGCTGATCAGATATGTCTTTTCAAGAGCATTATTTTCCCTCTAAACCAAGAAACTCTCTGAGCAGTACATTTTAGTGTATTTGAATATATGTGTCATTTATTATCATGTTTTGTATGATAATTTTATTGCTCATTTTCATAATTTTTAGATCTTAAAGAAAACTAGAATCAAAATATTTTAATGAATATTGTTAGCAATAAAATATGTATACAGAGGGGTAACAGATTTCATTATCAGATTTAAAAAGGAAAAAAAAAAAAAAAAAACCAGTTGTACCACTCAGAGGATTAAATTTGATGCAGTCTTTAACCTTAACTGGATAAAACATATTTGGGATTATGTTAAAAAGTTTCTTCTTGCCCAGAGTAATAAGCAGTATCTGTATGGTGCTGTTGTAGATTGCATAACATATTTGTAGAATGATTCCAAAAACTTGCAGAATCCATACCTTGACAAATCCAACTTGTTTTACTTGTAGAATTTTGCTATTATGATATGATATTAGATTAGCATGTTTAATAAAGCAGTTACTGAATATAGAAATCAGCTTTTAATAACTAATTAGCTTTTCAAAACTTGATTTTAAAAAGTAACTTTAATTTTGTTTAGTACTGTTACATGTGTTGAATTATAAATATTGATTATATTTTGAAAGTTTTGATTATAGCTGCATTTTAACTTAAAAATGTTTTTCCCATATTTGAAATGCTCCTGTAATTTTCAGACAGAGTTCCTTCAGAAGTGGTTTGTAGTCCTGCCAGAAGTTGCTTATGAGAAAACACAAGCAGCATACATATATAATTGTAATTCATGGGTTAGAGAGTATACTAAATTTCATGATAGAGTTTTGACTCCTCTAAAAGTAAGTTTAACCAGAATGTTGCATTTCTATGTTTTTAATGTATTAAGCAATTTAAAAATACTCGAGAATGTGATTTGTTTAATACATTGGTTAGTATTATACTTCTGCATAATGATTAGGATTTGTATTGTTTGATTTTTACATAAATTGTTTATGGAGCATAATTATTGTTATCTTTATTTTTGTAGATATGTTATGTATACCTTATATGCATGCATTTTCTGTTGTATCTAAAATTTTTGCAGATAAGTATTAAATGAAAGAATTCATATCACTGCTAGATGTCTTTAAAAGCGTCACCTTTTTTTCAAGGTGTCCAATGGCAGGGAAAAATTGGTATGAAGCAACATAATTCCATTTTATTTTCTAAGGAGCAAATCTGGTCATTTTCTGTTAAATCCCAGACTGAGCAATTGAAAATTAGGTGAAATTAGATACATCTTTTGGTTGTGATGTAGTTGTACGTCTGCTCACATTTGAGAAATTATGTCTTGAAAACTCTTTATTCTGCCACATAATTAAAAAGAATTTCCATGAGGCATCTAGAGCTCCTATTAACATTGCTCATGATTGAGACTGTCCTGCTTCAGGGATGGTAGTAGAAGATTAGGTCAACCAATGATTGTTTAGAAAGATATAAAAAGAAGTAAATGGAATTCCTTATCATAATGCATGCTGATTGAAACATACCAGGATGTTTCAAAAGAAAACAATATAACTCCCTTTTATTAAAAATGATTCAACTTCTCACAAACCTCTCATTCAAGTAAAACTAGCTTTTTAGGCTTTTGGATTCATTCCGTGTGCTTGCTTTGTCACTTTGTACTATGTTTGAACAAAACTAAACTAGTGCATTTTTATTTGCACTATAGAGATTTATTATATATTTATTTGCACTATATTTTATTTGCACTATAGAGATGAAGCATTTAGAAACATTATTCTTTGAAATCCCAGCTATTAATAAATACTATATTTGAACAATGTTGATAAACTAGTGCATTTTTACTTGCACTATAGAAACTAAACCATTTAGAAACATTATTTTTTGAAATCCCTGTTATTAATGAATTAATAAACGAAGAATAGTGTAAAGAAAATAATTGACAAGGCTTAATTTATTGATCATCACTTATATCTGGAAGAGAAACTGGATTCTTAGGATCTGTCAAATATGGAATTCTTTAAATTTTTGTAGGAAAATATGACATAACCTGGGGAACGTGAAAAAAATCTCACTGAGGAAAAAATATGTACGGGAAATACTTTATTATAACTACAAAACTGATAGATGTTAGAAAAATTCTTTAAAAAAAATTAATGTCCTTTTCATGTGAATTTCTTACTGATAAATATATATTAACTCTAAACAAATAATATGGTGGATCATCTGAAAAGTAGTTTTTTTTTTTTTTTTTTTTTTTTCCCCTTTCTTTTAATGGTGAATGTTTATGAAGCAGTGTGGAAACAATAGCGAATTTGAGTAACTCAAGTACAATTTTGTTTTATGACCTTTCTCTATTTCTGTACTAGCTACAAAGTTTCCCTGTCAAAGTGGTTCTCAAATTTTGTTTGTAAAAAAATTATCAAGATCTTTTTTACTACCTTCCTAGAAATTTCAAAATCCCCCCCCCCATTCAAGAAATTTTGAAATCTGAAGAAATGAAAATTTGATGAGGAAAGGTTAAGTAAATATTGGGAAGGGGTGAACCAAAGCAAACTAGCCCATACTCAAGAATTCTGTTTAGAACATTCATTAAAATATGGGACGAAGCATTGCTATGATAAAACACAGTGCTATGATGATTGGCCTGTTCTGTATGTTTCATATCAATTTCCAAAATACTGCTTGCAGATCTGCAATTTGCAGACTTGGTAATCTGATTAAGTGGCAACAATAAATTATAGTCCCACCATAAGAGAAAATATTGCTGTTTTAGTATAAGGATGATGCAATCTTTTTTCAGTTTTCTTGGGGGGGGGTTGTTTTTTATTTATTTATTTTGGGGAGGTCACTTAAAAATCTAACATTTGACATATCTTACAATTTTTTCAGAGGGGATAACATATTGTATAGGATCCACTTCTCACATCCATGTATGAACCATTTTTCATTTTGCTTAAAAAAATCACTTGCCAAAATTCAAGCAAGCATAAAAAATACAACTCTGTCTGTGTTTGGGGTGCCCACTCATCACAGCATCTTATTTAATCAAGCATCTCTAAACTATAGCATGGTGTTTCTTCCAGAACATTTAGCCCATCCTCTAATTCTTTACCTGTATATTGAGGATATTTAGCGAGACTGTTTATTAGCACTGTGCATTCTTTCTTATTTACAGAGAAAGAACATTAAGAGAAGGTTGTAAACTCTGAGGCTGAATTTCCATCATTAAACTTCTTAAACCAACTATTATCGGAAACTGTAAATTTTATGATCTATCTGATTAGAATTTTACTCCTTTTTAAAATACAAGAGCATAATATAATGAAAATGAATGTGTTGAGCCTTTAATTTTAACATTGCAGTGAACAGAAATAATGTTACATGTAAAACTGTATATGAGCAGGAATCTTTTTAAAGAGGCCAAGTGAGGAGTACTTCTTATCAGCAGTAAGGAAAAAAAAAATAATAATAGAGAGATACATGCTTTTATTTAGAAAACCTGCAAAACGTTCCAAATAGCCCAACAGTTTTCAACACTGTTTGACATTTCTGGTCATTAAAGTGTTTAAATGCTATGCGCCATGTACAGTATGTAACTGTAAGGTGATGAATTACTAATTTTTGCTTAATAATGACCATTTAGTAATAAATCATTGCTTTATGTGTTCATAAAATTATTTTAATTTTATCAGAGAGAATATGAAATTATTACATTTGTTTTCTCTTGTACTGTATACTGTAAACAGTAAAGAAAGACTGATAATTTTAACATGCAGTAGTGGTACAGCAAACATCAAAGTGGACCTTGTAATGATTGGAAAGTCCCAAAATTCTTGAGCCTTTAAAACAGTTAAAAAAAAAAAGTACTTCCTGTAAAATACTGTAGCCAGAAAAGCAAATGTATGAGCAGTGGTTCTTTAAGGAATTCATTCTTTCTGCATAGAAGTTTTTGAAAGAAAATAATGTATTCAGAAAAGCTGATTTATTGCTAGATAATACTCCAATACATCTTTATGCAGAGGAGCTTCAAGATAGTGATAGCAAGACAATGTTTCTTCTCCCCAGTATTATCATTATATGCCAGCCTATGGAACAGAGTGTTTTGTAAATGATAAAAAGGAATTTACATACTTAGATCTAAATGTCATTATCTGTAAGCAGTTTGTTGTCTTGCTTTTTCCATACATATCTTAGATATATCAGACTGAAAATCATTAAAAAACATTTGTAGTAGATGTATAAAAATTAGTGTTTCACTGGTGTCATATTAGTAATTTTGAAAGTATATCTGTTCAGCAATATATTTATGTAGAAGCTGTTAATCAAATATCGGTTAAAATCTTATTTCAGGGTTGTCGAAAGCTTATTTTTTTGGACACACCACAGAGGCTTAATGATTACATTGATGTTGAGCATCAACGTCTTCCGGGTGCAACACTTTCTTTAGATGAAGATTTAAAAGTGTTCAATAATGCTTTGAAGTTATCTCACAAAGACACTAAAGTTGCTATAAAGGTAAAAGTTATCTAAAAAGTTGAGTCATTAGGTATGTGGCTGTATATTTTGATGTGTAATTTCAAAATTGATATTACACTGTTTCAGCTCTTTAGAAGCTGTGTAACAGTATAAGTTTTATAGTTTTTTAATAACCTAAGAAAAGGTAGTGCAATGAGAAAGATTTGCATGAAGACTATCAAGTATAAAAATGTTGCAGCAGAAATGCTGAACTAACTATTCCGATACCTAAAAACATTTCCAACTTTTTCAAGGAAAGGGCTTTGATTTATTTTAAAATTCCTACCTCAGCATCAGTAAATTGATTAAAACATTTTGTTAAATAAAAATTTTATTTAAATTTAGTTATGTGGTCATGATTAATAATTAAGCAAATGATTCAAAATACTTCTTTTTGTCTATTTTTATTTATCTAAATAATTATTCACATATACTTAAAGTGATTTAAGATACTAAAGTGATTTAATAATTTAAGATGATTCATCTTAAATTATTTTTATGGAAGTGGTGCATAAAAAAAATTTTGCTTTTATTATATTATAATTTAATTTAATAAAATTTTTGTGTAAAATTATAAAGTAGATAATTTTATGAAGTTCATTAGCATGTGCATCAGATATTCTTTGCTGGTTACTTGATTTTTATCTGAGAAGATTGTGTTAAATAATGGGCATTTCTGTTATTGCTTTTGAGTCTATGTGCTTACCTGTGACCATGATGTGCATTTAATTATGTTACGTTTTTAATAGTGATTCTTTAGATGTCTTAATTCTTGAGATAGTGTGAGTAATATACACTAATGTTTGTGAAAAATGCAACTCCATGAAGAATTTGTCAGAAATGAATGAAATTTATTCCATATATTACTGAGAGTGGTACAAATAAATAATCAAATTTGCAAGACCCCTTTCCTCCCCCTCCCGAAAAAAAAACTAACATCAGAAGTTTTGTGTGTCTGCATCCTGAGTGGCAATAGCCTGTACATGTTGTGGCATTGAATCATACAGGTTCTGAATGTAATCCTGGGGAATGGCATTTCATATGACTTCAACTTGATGCCAAAATTCAGTCTTAGTGTGTGTTTCACCAGCTTTACTAGTGAGTCACTGACCAATCAAATCCAAGAGATGCTGAATGGACAACATATCCAGGGAAGAAGCGAAACCTGCTGTGCCCTAAAGAAGGCTTGTGCAGTCTGAGAAACATATGCACAGGCATTATCCTGCTAAAATCCAGTGCCCGCAAGGCGTCGAAGAATGAAGTGGCTCCAGAATTTCCCTTATGTAGCGATTGCTGTTGAGGTTCCCGGCAATCTGCACTAGATGTAATTACTAATTATACCCAATATCTCCTCATACTGTAATGGCAAGCATTTGTGTGGTATAATGTTGGATAATACTCTGCAGGAGCAGACATTATTCTCTATAATGTCTGACGCATACTCTTACATCATTGTACTTCAGATTTCAGCCAAATCGATCAGAGGAAACAGCTTGTCGCCACACCACGCGCTGTTTTGCCATGCCCATTGAAGTTGAAAGAGTCTGTGATTCAGCGGCAGGGGAAACCTGCATACAGGAACCCTTGCACATAATTCATGCTGCAGCAGATGGTGACGAACTGTAAAGCTAGACAACACAACACTTGTAGCGTTGCTCAAACATTGTGCTAACACTTGAGAGGATGCTGTATGATCCATCATAGCCATGCATATGAGGTGTCTGTCGTCCAGTGCCATTATGCGCCCCGTTGCCAGGATTTCACCTTGTTTGGTTCTCTTCTGTCCATTTCTTCCAACACGCATCACTGTTGTGGCATTAAGCTGCATTCAGTCTGCAAATGCTCAATACAAATGTCTGTCGTCTCGCATACTAACGATGCAGCATTATTCAAACTCTGTACTTATTGATGTGTCACTCTCTTCTTTTGTTGAGACATATTGACCACTAATTAAAATGTTCACAACAGACAGGAAAATAAACAGATTTCAACACAACTTTAAGTTTTTTATACATGAAACAAGCAGCTGGTTCTCATTCCACACATGCACAATTCATTTGTAATTCTAATCATTTGCATGTCTTACCTCACTTTACATTTCATATAAGTTTGGTTCAATTTGCATAATTCCTTCATGGTATTGCAGTTTTCACAAATGTTAGTGTTATGTTATAACTGTTGAAAGAAGTTTAAATAAGTAATTGGAAAAATACATTTTTAACTAATTGATGATGTGAAAAATAATTTTAGAAAATGGTAATCCCCAAAGATTGGTAAAAGTATAATTTGATCTCTGATGAAAAAATTTGTTTTCTTACTCAGGATGTGAAGTGTTTAATTCAGTTATGAATTAGGTTTTCTTTTGAACAATGGAACTGTTTGTTATATGTTATATTAGTCTTTTATTATGTATATGTACTGCTCAATAAAACTAAAGGATATTGATAGACATAGAACTATATGTTTACTTATTGAAAATGATTTAAAAACTGTTAAAAAAGCAAGCATTGTTTTCCATAAATTTCCATGTTTATCAATCTATAGATATTGAATTTATAAATATAAAATTTGAAAAGTCAATTTTATGAAAATTTTAAAGGTGATGAATATTATCACCTTTAATTAATTCTTTATTATGGTATATAATATAGTTTGATTTTCCATTAAACTAAATTAAAATTTGAAAATCAAATTAAATATAAAATAAATTAAATTAAATTATAAAAAATAATATAAATATTTATATTTTATATAAATATATTTATTATTTTTTATAAAATAAAATAAATATAATGTAAAAAAAATTAAATATAAAATTTTGAAAAGTCAAATTTATTAAAATTTTAAAGGTAATAAAAAAATATATCCCTTGTTTTATAACAAATTTTTCTTTACTATGGTATATAATATAGTTTGATTTTCCATCAAACCATACTTTCTTTAATTCATAAAATTTACTTAACTGGTATCAAATCTTATGGAATAGCATGCCACAAATTTCGGCAAAAGCCTTATGTTAAGTTTCAAGATTTCATACATGTGTCTATGATCTTTTACAGAACCTTAATTAAAGATGTGCAGGTTAATGAAGCCATTTTTTATGATTTCACCTCAAAGCATGAAACTTCTTCTGTGAAAACAGGATCTTTTATGAACAAATTTGAGTATTCATTGCTCCCTTTATGTCAAAATAAGTCTGAAATTTATATTTACACTTCAGGCTGTATTTAGACTTGTCAGTAAACACTCTGATCCCATGCCTTTTGATGCCATTAAAAGTGATCATGACATATCTTAAACGGGCTCCTTTGGAAGATGGACGTAAACTGTTTGTTTTCTTGCTTAAAATCTAACCTTGTGAAAGCTTTATGCAGCAGTAGAATATCTGATTCATGTTCTTGTGGCATCATGAAGCCCTAAAATTAACCTTTTTTTTTTAAGTTGCTTCATGGTTTCTTTGAGCTGACAATACCAGATAAGGGTCTTCGAATGCATTTGTTGCTCTTGAGTGCCCCTGACCAAGCTGTCTCCTAAGTGATTTATTGCTTAAATCACTTAGGAGTGGTCGAATCACTTAAGAGCTTAAATCACTTTAGTGGTCTCAGATTGGCTGTACCTGAAGCAATTTTACGTAGTCCACGAATACTTTTCAATTTGTTGCAGTTGTGGTGCAAAGATTTCAAGTCTGATATAACTTTTTCAAAAATTTGAAGATACAGATTTTTATTAACTTTTATTTCTACTTATCAAAAAGTAAATGCACTCAGTTGCAAATTTGTGCAGTAATGTGAAGAGTCCTGCCCCTCCCCCAAGCACACAGTTGAAAGAGTAACTAAAGAATTGAGTTGAACAATGAGTGTTTAGAAGGCATTCTGAAGATAATTTCTAGGAATTTCTGTCTAAGGTTACAAACTTTATCGGAATTTGAATGCTATAAAATGTTAAGCTGTAGTAATAAATAAAGGAATTTTTAATTGTTTAGAAACATATGTATTTTTATTTATTTGTCAAAGAAAGTTGAATTAAGAGAAAAAAGACAAGGATATCACTATTAATTAACTATATTACTTGAAATAAATGTCAATCTGAAAATTAAATATTTACCTGTCAGTATATTTTAATTAATAAACATAAACAACAATGATATCTTGCATGTACCAAACTATAGATTTCTGATAGAAAATAATTATAAATTTGAATTTTTGTTTCTTTGCAGTATTATTATTGTATACATGTGTTTTGGTAAATATTTAGGGAAATTTAAAATTTATTTAAAATATTTTTTATTTTGTTATTGAACATTTTTTATTTTGTTTAAAAAATAAGTCTGATAAATACATTAACTGAAAACCTGACCTGTGAGCAATTTTTTTGTTCAGATTATCCTTTAATTTTGATGAGCATTTTATTAAGGATATAATATACTTAGTCATTAATTATGATTATACAGACGCTTTTTTTAAATTTTTTTGTTAGGTGGGTCCCACTGCTATTCAAGTAACTTCAGCTGAGAAAACAAAAGTTATTGGTCATTCGGTACTTCTAAATGATGTATATTATGCATCAGAAATTGAAGAAGTATGTACTTTAATTTTAAATGTTAAATGTAAACAGAAATTTATGTTTTAAACTTTAAATAAAACTGCAAAATCTTTAACATATAAAATTTTCTTGCATGTTGTGTTACGTAGTCAACTTCCAACTAACTGAGGATGAGTTAATCAAGTCCTTTCATAATCCCTTGAGTGGCATAATTGCCTCTATTGAGTCATGAGACTTTTTATCATTTGGTATATATTACCATATTATTTAAAATATTTTTTTCCTTATTTACTTTAATGATTTAAATATTATCTTAATAAAGGAAAATTTATAAAAACAGTGATTAGAATAATTAATTATACAAATTTAGCTAATAAATTATGTTTAAATAAAGTTTTTATAAGCAAATCTGGAAAGCCGTGTCAGAGGATTAAGGAGTATCAGTAACCTCTATACCGATAATGTTAAATTGGCCATTTTCGATATACCTTTTCTCAAAATCTGCTTTAGATACACCCTTGAAATTTTTTGTGTAATTAAAGTATACCTATCTGATTTTACTGAAATGAGCTTTTGAAACATTTTGAATTTTAGAGTAATTTACAGAATATTTTGTTAGGCATAGTAAAATTTAGCACTTTTACCACACAAAAAAATTAAAAACATTTTTTTCCCAAGTTTATCACAAAAAGCTCATTTCAGTAAATATTAGGAAACTTAATAAATAAGACATAAAAATTTTAGATACCTGTGAGCAGTAGTTCCTGAGAAAAGGTACATCGAGTATAAAAACAAATTACGTTTGAAGAAAAACACGTTTTTATGCAAAAATCCTCTTTAATCAAAGAAGTCGATGACAAATTAAAACTAGATTTTTTACAGTTCTAATTTTCATAAAGATTTAGAAAAGTGTAGAGAATTTGAAAATGCAAAAATCCGAAATCACAATTTTTTGAAGATTTTGGTGTCCCAACACTCCTTAAGGGAGAAAAAGTTTGCTTATTGTACAATGTTGAGGAAATTGTTTTTGCAAACCATAAAACAAATATCCTATAGAGCAAGGATGGGCAAACTTTTTCGGTCGCAGGCAAAAATCGAAAGAATAAAAAGTTTGGTCGGCCAAGATTAATTTTTCTAAAATTTTAAAAACAATATACAAGTATTACAATTTAAATATGTTAATGAGGTGAATGAAATTGCGATTTATTTTCTTAAAGTTTCTTATACAGTCAAAAGTCGTTAATTCGGACACCCATAATCCAGAATGATCTATAATCCGGACCTCAAAGCTACAAACTTTCTGCCCATGCGTCGCGTTGACGCATGCGTATAAGACCTTTACGGCTGCGAATATGCGTGTGCGCATGCGCATAATAAGTTTACGCATGCGAGTTTAATGTATAATGGACGGTATAAGCTAAGCTAAAATTATCTAATTCAGTTAATGTTGCAGAATGCGTTGTTCCTTAATCTTCGAATTAGATCTGGCTTATTATTTTTTGCAGACTGTTAGAGCAATTTTATAAAAGTAAGCTTGAACTTTTGATTATGTCAAATAGAATTTCCGATATATATTTACTAATATGTAAAGGATCTACAAAGCGAAAGTATGTTTCGAAGTCCATTAAACAAAAAGTGGAATTCCTGCAAAAAATGGATTTGAATAATTCATATCCTTTGCTTCTCTAACCATTCCAAAATCTGTTTATCAATTTCACGCTGCTCTGCGGTGGGGGGGGGGGCAAAAACGCCGCGCCACGCAACGAATTGATCTGTAAGCACTATCCTTATCTTCAGGGCAGATATTTTTATTTTATTTGGCCTATAATTCCTTGCTAAATGTAGTATTTCATCTCGTTGTTTTCCATCTTTGATATGATTTAAATCAAATTAGTCAAATTAGTCGGTAATTGACAAATTAGTCAGTATTCTCGACACAGCAATTATAGGACTTTAACAGCGGAACTTTGTAACTGAAGAAGAAATTATGTCTGTTTATAGAATTAAAGAGAAAGTATTATCACATAAAATGAAGCAACTTAAACAACTTACATTGAAAGAAATGTTTAAGAAAGTAAACAAATAAATATTAAGCGTTTTTTTTTTTTTTTTTTTTTTTTTTAAATTTTGATACCCTTAGATCATAATTGTTCTTTATTTCATAAATTACGATTTCGTATTTTTAATTTTATAATTTCTGCATGCCATCTTACCAGATTTAAACTGATGATCTATAATCCGGAAAAATCGATAATCCAGAATCGCTGAAGTCCCGCCGAGTCCGGATTAACGACTTTTGACTGTGTTGAGGTTCGAAGTGAGATGTACCGATTCTAATGAATGAGGCTAAATACTCATCTGTCAGTCTACTTCTGATATAATTCTTTCTAAGGTTCATAGGTGAAAACACTTGTTCATATATATATAATTTGAAACAAATGTAGCACATTTTCTTGGCGTGAGGTATTAAATTCGGGAAACTTACTTTTGATAATTATTTGTAAAACTCTAACTTTGACATATTTAGAAAGAGCTGCTTGTGATAATTATTAGATTGCAACTCAATTAATTCAAGCTGCAAATCTGATCTCACTGCTTCACAATTTACGTTGAAAGGCATGGTAAAAATATCCAATTCTGTTTGATAATCTTGAAATCTGCATTCGAACTAAAAATGCAGTTTATTCAAGCCATTTTCATAATTCTTAAGCTTCTCTTCATTTGCTGAGAGTATTGAATTTAACCTTGGGAAATGAGGCAAGTCATTCTTAGCTAGTTGCCCAGCAAACAGATTAAGTTTTGGTTTAAAACTTTGAGATAAGCCCGGATGTCGTCGATAAATTGATTTTTCCTTTGCATCTTGACATTGAAGTTGCTCATATGGCAAAGAAGATCTGTGAAAAATGCGAAGTCCAAAAGCCATTCCTTATCTTCTAACATTTTGCACTCCACATAACACCATTTCTCATGGAAGAATGACACAATGTCATCTTTCAGCTGCCAAACTCGCTCGAAAACACACCCTGCACCAAACCATTTAACTTTCGTGTAATGCAGTACGTCAGAGTATTCAGATTGCATGGACTGAAAAAAATCTTGAAATTGGCCGTGAGAAAGTCCACAATATCGAATAGTATTTATAAGTTTCACAACTGCCCTAGTTTCATATTCAATGCAGATTTACACAGAACATCTTGATGTATAACACAGTGTAGAAAAACAACTTTGTTTCCAGAGTAATTTTGATTAAGGAATCCCAGAAATCCAGATTTTTTTCCCTGTCATATTTGGTGCTCCATCAGTTGTAATATTACATATGTTTGTTATAGGCACGTTCAAAGTTAAAAGCCCTTCCTGAAATTCATGAAAAATATCACATCCCATTGTAATTCCCATTAAAGAACGCATGCACGCCAGTTCCTCAGTAATTTCAAAGTTCTCATCAACACCTCTTATAAATAATACTAATTGAGCAGTATCATTTATATCAGTCCTTTATCCATAGCTAGGGAGCAAAATTTAAACTGGTCAATCTTTGACTCTAATTGTGATGTCAAATTTTTATCGATGTCTTCGATTCTGGAAATCACCGTTTTTCGAGATAAGCTTATAGTCTCAAAATTATTTTTCTTGTCTGGACATAAAACATCACATACTTGGAGCATGAACTCCCCATCACTGAGAGCTTTATTATTTTTAGCAATATTGTATGCTACAATGTAACTTACATGTGTAGCTGCTTCTTGGATACTGTTTACGTTCTTGAAAAAATTTTGTTGGCCTGATAATATTTTACAGACTTTCTGCATTTTGTTTTCATTTCAGACATTGCTTCGTAATTGCAATTCTTATGCTTAGATGGGAAATGACAGGAAATGTTATATTCTTTGAAGACTGCTACAGCTTCATTGCGGATGAAACACATTGGTTTATCTTTTACAATTTTAAAAAAATATTTCTTGGTCCATTCATCATTAAAAGCATGACACTCTCAATTACTTTACATTTTTAGTAGCCATTTTGGGATTGAAATATTTTCTGAATAATCCAAACAAATGCTATACTTTTAGTAATTTCAACACTATTCACAATGATGCTATATGTTTGCAAACTTTCCATACACAATCAATGATATTAGAACTTGTGCCAAAAGAAAAAGGCCGCTGGCTGGAGTTTAAAATGTGCAGTCTGCCACATGTGAGGTCTAATTCACCTATTTTGGATTCCCGTATGTCTGCTACTCGAGAAAGAGATAATGCTTGTTAATGCCAATCTACAGCTATAACAAAGAACTTCCGCTTTTAACACTTTACCGATTGAATGATGTCTGTGCTTGCTTTTTCCGTCGATTTACATTTTGTAGAACAAAAATAGAGAAAGTAAAATTATCATCAGTCTTTGGGGGGGGGGAATATTTAGACAAAGTAGAGAAGGAGAGGGATATATAATATATAAATATATATTTCTTTTGATTTGCCTCAGACCGGCAAATAGTTTGACCATCCATACTATAGAGCAAATTGTATATATAAAATACAGAAAGGAAGAGCAGAATTCAAGGAATAACAGCAGTGATTGTAGATTATGTCTGTCACTGAATGAGTGTATAAAGTTGTCACTGACCTTTTTTTTTAATATGAGTTTGAACTCTTTAACATAGGTCAACTTCTCTTGCAAATACTGTTCTTTATTACCATTTATAACCTTTATTACCATATTTATATTTAGATTCTTCATTTCTAGTCATGTTTAATTTTCCCTATTTACTTTGTTGTTTTTGTGTTCTTTTTGTTTAGAATTTTAATCCAGATTTTAATTTAAGACTTAATTGATTGAAAATCCAATTAAATTGTTTATAATGAATGTTTCTCAGTTAATTGTAATATGGGCTAATTTTCTTTCTTGTGTTTTTTAATTCCCATCAGGTTAACTATTTTTTTTAATTAATGGTGGATTTTATTTCCAGTATTACTATGATTAGTTGGGCTTATTTATTATGTATTGGATTTAAGAAAGTAATGGAAATTCTTTAAGTTTAAAAAAACGACAAATATGAAAATATCTGTAGTAAATTTTGTTTACTTTTATCCTTAGTATATCGATATAGGATAGATTATTTTTGTTTCTACTTGATAATGGAGATCTTTTATTTAAGAATATTATTATTGTAATTTAAGAAGTAAAGGAGTAGAGCCATTTGTGGTACAAATTTTATATCAAATACTTTACAAAATTAAATTAGTAATAAATAGTAATAGTAGCAATTAAACTATTTTATCTTCTATATTGGGTATTGTTTAAAAGTTTTGAGAAGGAAATATAAGTTTGTCTAATTTGTCAATAGTGAGAAAGATCATATCAATAATTTATTTAGTAAGAAGAAACATGCCCCCCCCCCTCAGTATTATTGTATTAACTTACTTGATTTTGCAAGTTGAAAGGCTGTGGCAGAGAAGTGTAAATTTGTAACTTATTTTAACTCCTATTTCTTTTCAGAGTGTAAAGGATATGATTTATTTTTGTCATCAGAATATCTTTAATATAACTTTAAGTAGTTTCAGTTATAGTGTGAAATCCATTATTTTTTCAGTTATAATTTTTCATGGTTTTCTATTTCAAATAGTGTATTTTAGCTTAAGCGAGTAATGGAAATTAATTTTCCTTTATTAAAAATATTAGTTCGAAAGCTATTAACTTTATCTATTTTTTCCATTTATTATTTTCATTTAAATATTAAAGGAAATTTGTGATTATATTTCACAGAATTAAAACATAGCTGTCTTATTTATGTGCGTTATAGTTCTATCATTAGATTGAATTTTTATACATTCACAAAGTCAATGATGTTCTCAAATGTGTTTACTAGTTATAATTTTCTAAACCAAACATTTTCTTTTACATCATTATACTTAATAAATTAAGCTATAGAGTTTTTTTGCCTTTACAAAATTGTGAATTCTTTTAAATATATTTACAAGTTATGATTTTCATCCTCCCTTAAATTTTAAGACTTTATAATCTGATTTAAGTATAGATTTAAATGACACCCCTCCCTTTCTCTAAAGTTCAACTTTTATAACAGTAAAGTGGACTTTTGTTCTTCCTAGGTTTGTCTTGTAGATGACAATCAATTTACATTAACTATTGCGAATGAAAGTGGCCCTTTGTCCTTTATCCACAATGATTGTGATAGCATTGTTCAAGCAATTATTCATATCCGAACTCGGTGGGAATTATCACAGCCTGTAAGTTTAATTTTTTTATTATTATTTTAATTTTAAAAAAATTGTTCTGAAAAATAATGTGCAGTAATATCTTGATTAACAGACTAAATTTTGAGAGAAGATGTATCCATTATTATGGAAATCTTGTAAAGTGGACATGTTTAAAAGAATTGCGTATATGAAGTAAAATTAAACCAAGAAAGTAGTGTTTTAGTATTTTAAATAAAATTGCCCCTTCTCAAAAAAAATAATAACTAGAGAGAAAATTTAAAAAACAATCTCATTTTATTGCATGTATTTGCATATTTTCCTGTTCACCACAAAATTGGTGAAAGCCTCGCTAAACTTATTCCAGTCAGCAAGATGGACGTTTGAAGAAATTTTGTTTGGAAGGAGGGGGATGCCTTCTGGGAGGACTTTTTAAGGGAAAATGGCTCATATCTACATTACACGTGGGAAAAATTGTAAAAACTTCCATGCAGGCTGCCCATTCAATGAGATATAAACCCTAGACTGAACTGTCAATATTCAGCAACTTTACTATTTGGCTGCTGGTTCAGTCTGTTTGCAGAAGCAGATCACCGTTTAATAATTAAACAGTGATTGAACAATAGCTACAAATTACAGATATAGTATAAATAAATATATATATATATATATATATTTAAAAAAAACTTAAATAAACATGAGCTTAGACTTACGGCAGTCATTCTGGCAAAATTTTGGATGTAACAGATCTTCTTTATTCAGTTAGATAATCATAAGATAAAGTGACTAATCGAGGCTTATATGAGGTTACATGAAACCAATCTTATGAATGTATTTTGAGTCTTCAGGGCAAAATACTAAAATGGGCAAAATACTTATGAATGTATTTTGCCCATTATTAGCATTAAATTACTTTGTTTTATGATAGTTTTTGTTTGCTAAAATTGGCTGACAGAAAAATACAGAAGTACAAATAAATATTATCTCTTTTAGTGATCAAATGTAGCAGCCATTTCCCTTTTTGAAAGAGAATCATGTAAGGAAGACATGACAAAAAAAAAAAAAAAAAAAAGTGAATTGTTGTGGCTTCAGAAATATTTAGCCCTTAGCACATTTTACATTTTTGTATATATGATTAAGTGTATTGGCAATAGATTGTTATAATTACCACCCGGAAAGTGGAGTTTCATTATGAATTTAAATGGTACTTGTGTTAATTTATAAAACTTAGAAAATAAAATTTTGTTACCCAAGTTATTAATAATTTCTAATTATACCACTAATTTCTACCATTTCTAATTATGCCGCTGAAGACTTAAATATTTGTGAACTGAGATCACAGTTGTCAAATAAACAAATTAATATTAATTGAAGGAATCACAGATTACATGGTCATATGCAAAAGAAACCTGCTAACTCTCTTCAGTTGAAAAATGGCTTGTGCTGTATGCAAATGCAAATTTTTTGTGTGTCAGCTTCATTAATATCTATCTTTAAGGTCTTTATAATATGATTAATATTTTATATATGACATTCATATTATCCTAGCTGTTTAATCATGATAAATTCATCTAATATTCAGCATGTCAAACATTCATAAACATTTTACTTTTTTATATTTATAAAAATATTTCAGTTCATTACTATGTTTAGTTTTCTTAAGAGTTTATATATTTGTATATGTATGTTCATTTTCTAAACTTTTAATTGCTGAAACATTTCATTGCTTTATATATTGAAAGGATTCTGTGACTGTCCACACAAAGATCAGGCCAAAGGATGTACCTGGTACGCTTCTAAATATGGCTTTGCTGAATCTTGGTAGTTCTGATCCAAATCTGAGGACTACTGCTTATAACCTACTATGTGCTCTTACTGGTACATTTGATCTTAAAATTGAAGGGCAGCTTTTAGAGACTGCAGGTTTGTTGGTTCCATTGGTTTATTAAAACAATGCAAATTTAAGCTATTTTATTCAATGTTTATTAGAATTAGTCTGTTATAAACTTCAGTATAGCAGATCAATAATTAATTATATTAATGGGATCGTTGTAAAATGGAACTTCATTCCCACACTATATATTTTTTAGCTGTAATCTTGTCCATTTAGTGAATTTGAAATTAGCGAAAATTTACCCAATAATCAACTATAGTACCACTTATTGCTTTATGACAGAACCGAACCACCAGTCAAATGGATAAGCCCATAAACTGGTAATTCAAACTTTCATAATTGAACTAATTGGCTGTGGTTATGTAAATATAAGTGATTATCCTTTGGAGAATCTTACGTGAGAACATTCTTCTAAAGGCAAGTAGTCATGCTTTGTCATATTTAAAATATCATAATGCTGAATTAAATCCAAAAACTAATTTTTTTTTTTTTCAAGGATACAGACAAGTTACTGATAATCTTTGAAGAAAATCTGAAATCTTCAGAGGACATATTCTTTTTTCATTTATTTCTCCTTGCATTGTAAAGGCTACAAATGATGGAATAAATTAGAAGTCTGCTATATCTTCATTGCATTGTATTAATGTTCTTTATTATAAAATTAACTGCATGATTACTCTTTTTGTAAAATTTAATTTATATTCTACAGGATTATGCATACCATCCAACAACACAATATTCATCAAACAGATCAGTGAGAAATTAGCACAGAATGCCTCTCACTTGACTCTGGAATTTTTGGAAGAATGTATTCAGGGGTTCCGTTCTTCAACCATAGAGCTAAAACATTTATGCTTAGAATATATGACACCATGGTTACCCAATTTGACACGGTAAGTAACTTGTTAAGATAGTAAATAATTTACTTCAATATTTTGATTATCATACCCATCAATTATGATTTTGTTTTATATAAGTTGATGTAAGTTATTTTGTTGTACTGTTCAAATAATTTAACTTATTTTAGTGATAAAGTCATTATTTTTTAATGGGAGACGTGATAACTGTTTTTGGTGAATTGCTTAAGTAGAATTATTGCACATATGTGAGGAAAATTATTTGAGAAGGCTAGCCCATTTTGCTAAAATTTAAAAGTGGGTTAAAATATATCACTTAGTTGTCTGTATATTACAGATAAATGTATCTTTTCTCTAAAGTACTCTAACATTGCTCAAAACTAAGAGAGATTACTGTAATAATATGTAAAAAATATATGATATGCTTTTTTAATATCCATGCAGTTTTAATATGCATTCGTTTATCAATCAGTATGTTATAAATTAAAAATTTACAATAAACTGATTGAGGATTTTGGAAGTGCTAGAATTTAATGAATTATTCACATGATGTAAAGTGCAAAAGGCTCTGAAAGGTTTCAGCTTTTAAATATCACCTAAAAGAGTTTGCTAAGGTTTTATACACTATTGCTGAGCTCGCAGTCTACCAATCAGCTGTTACACTGACTCCTACTAACTTTTTTTAAAAAATCTTTTTAGCTTTATTAGTATCGTTTTCTTCACACTTACATCAACACTTCAACAACAAAATCACAGAACTTTTAAAAGCTCCATAACAGCATATGTATAGAATTCCTAATGCAATATCAAGTTGTGCCATGCATCCCCTCCGTAGTCTTTTTTCAGTTCATCATATCAGTACTCAGTTTTCTTAATAAGATGGCTAACAATAAATAAATGAATAAATAATACAAAAATAAAACTTTTTTTTTTTTTTTTTTGTGTGTGTGGTGTGTGTATCTCTTTTTATTATTAACTTTTTTATACTATTAAATATCACATTCTTAGCACTTATGCCACATAAAATTTAATTCAACAGCAGTATCACAAAACATTTAAAAACAGCATATCTTTAGAATTTCCGTTAGAACGTTAGAGGTTGGCATACGTATTTTTATATTCTCTATAATATTTCTTTAAAAAATAGCCTCTCGTGACCAGCCACCTGAAATAGTTATCATAAAAAAGAAAAAATTTGTAACGATTTTAATGAGTTCATCTAGTGTAATTTCATAAAAATGTTGAGTATTTCTAATTAGACGTCTCATGATTGTAATACATGTGTATTTAAATCAATCACATTAAAAAGTATGGGGGGGGGAATTCTTCTTAAGAACTGTGTTTCTTGCTTTTAAATTATTTCGTTTATTAATCAGTAACATTCCAGATTAAATTTAAAATTATCTTAGGCCTTTACTGAATGGCAACACATTAGCATGTAGAAGGTAAAGTATTTTATTTCTGGCCATAGCAACACATTGCTTTCATAAAGCAGAGTTTATTAATTAAAACTGAAAGATCTCACATCTTTTTTACTAACAACAGTCTCGTATGCTGGAGTTAAAATTGCTTTATTTTGAAGTGGCACTGCTCGCTTTCAAAGTGTTGAGTTTGTTAATTAAAATTCATTAAAGTTTTACAAAATATGAAGTAAATAATAAAACAAACTCAAGATTCAGATTTCTAGGTGCACAGGGAAAATGTGTCATGGGGGAGGACTACATTATTCAAAATTTGATTGCTGTAAGTACTGTCATTTTTTTACAGTGCGAGGAATATGCATATATTCATGCAAATTCTTCATTATTTAATTTCTTTAAAAATAATATGGGGCACTAATATTTTATGGCAACAGTTTGAAAAGTGATACACCATTTATAGTGAACCAATGCATACTCTCATTTCAAGACTAATAGCCCCCGTCTGGATTAATAATAGTATAGTTGTATTGACTAATGTGTCAAATTTTTAATAGTTACTTGCAAATAGTTTACTACTGATGCATTGTTAAGATACAGTTTATCTAAAATGAGTGTGAGTAGTGTACAGTAGAACTCCAATTATCCGAATCAATTAGGACCGGACCCCATTTGGTTAATAGGATTTTTTTCCGAAGAAAAGGTCTACATACATTTTAATTAATTACTGTATGTTGAAAGTTGGAGGGGGGAAGAGAAGTTGCATGTGGTCACATTCGGACTGATGCTCTATCCACTTCAACGCAGTTTCAAGGCTGGCGAAGTTAGTGGCACTAGTTAATGGTCCCGTGTCTGCTTCAACTTCGACATTAAGGTCATCTTCTTTCTCGAAACTTTCTTCTCTCACACTTTCAATAAATTCATCATCATTTAGAATTTGAAACCCACAGACTGACGAATCACATACCATTCATTCTGCTGTATTCTCAATGCTAACTTTCTGAACATTCAGGAATTTTCAAAGGAATGTTTCTTAATTCCTCAAGTGGCACGTCATCCTCATCTTTTTCTGTCTCTTTCCTCTCTCTTCTTAAAGTCTGAAAGTGATTCGGATAGTCAGAGTTTGGATAATTGGAGTTGTACTGTATGTTATTTCCTCATATGTGAAATGCTAAATAATCATATTAATTTATTTTGTTTTATTGATGCTGCTGATGATGCTAAATG